TGTTGTTCTCAATAGGCATTCCTTTTATTTGTCTGAGTACATCCCTGGAATGGCAGACTGACAGAAAGGGATGGGTATTGGTGCAAAGGAAATCGCTCTTACTTTGTGAAAGGAAACAAACAGGGCTAACTGGCTATGCTAAACATTTTCCAGAAAAACCTTAGGATTCCATCCTTAACCTGTTTAATTCATTGAGCTATGTCCTGCAAGCCATGAAATACTCATTCAAAATACTAACCCAGATTTATGGTGCCATTAGCTTTTGTGGACCCAAGTCCGCTTTGTGAAATGTATCCTCCCATTGGCATATATAAATACTTTAAAACAGAGAAAGAAATTGTAACTAGTAGGGTCCAGAAAACTATGACATGTAAGATGTACTGTCTACGACAGACTGTATGCTGTGGGAAGACATTTGGCCCCTGCTGTTCACATTTTTCTCTGTCTTTCTCTGTTCACACCTGACAACAGAGAATATACTTCATGCATCTGATGAAGTGGGCTGTAGCCCACAAAAGTTTATGATTTAATAGATCTGTTAGTCTTTAAGGAACCACAAGACTCCACTTGCTTGTGCTGTAGCTGAGTGACACAACTACCCTTCTGGAATGTATAACTAATTTCGATTATATGAAAACTTTGGAAACTGCCTTCTGATCTTACTTAATTAGGATTTGCATAGGTAAGTAGCGCCACCTTGTGCTTTCATGTTTAACAGCCATGGCTTTCATGTGTTTGCGAACCAAGCAGCTTTTACTTTGTAATTTTCCTGTTGAGTCCACACATTACTTGTAACGTTTCCGTAGGAAAATGTGCAGTTATTTTAAATGTATCCAGTTTTACACATACCAATAAATAGAATGACATCAGTGGAAATTAAATCCAGAAACAGTACTGTCAGCAATAGTATGAGCATTTTAATTCCTCAGATAAGGCTAAATATAAAATAAAAAGCAGGAAGGTAGGAGAAAAGAGGGAAAATATATTTTAGGGCATAATGAAAAAGTCCAAAGTCTGTCTGCAGCCTGTAACATTAGGAAGACAAACACTGATAGGTGTTGCAGACTTAACTAGGTTTCTTGGTGATTGCTGCAAATCTAATTTCCTATTTCCTATTGCACTGGAGGAAACTTTGAAAGATGAAGCAAAAAATTGAGTCACTTCTTGTAGAATATAAATACTCATGTTTTATCAGAGCCCCCTGCAGTCCAATCAGGAATGCATAGGTCCCATTTAAGGCTAGTAGTAGCAGGAAAATGAAATAGTCCAGATACTAACTAACCTGGAGAACAGTTTTAGATGATCTACCTGCCATTAAGTCAACAGAAGTCAAACTGGGTAGCATTACCAAGAGGCTAAACAGGTAACTGCTATAAGCCAAGTCCTGTAAGAAGATCATCTACCTCAAGTTACAGAATTCATTTCTTGGACAGCTAAATGAAGTCTTTCTCTAAATAGTAGGGATGCCGGCCTCCAGGTGGGACTGAGGATCCCCTGGAATTACGGTCCATCTCCAGACTACAGAGATCAGTTCCCCTGGAGAAAATGGCAGGGTGGACTCTATGGCACTGTGCCCCGCTGAGGTCCCTCTCCTCCCCAGGCCCCACCTCCAAATCTCTGGGAGTTTCCCAACCTGAATCTGGCGCCCGTGCCCCCCATTCCCCACTGGTGGCCAGAGATGACCTGGCAACCTTAGTCAAATAGACAAGACTGTAGGTAGCCACATTGGTCCACAGAGAGAAAACCTATAAACAACAGTAATGCATTACTTTATTCAGGGCTTTTTTGTAGAAAAAGCCCAGCAGGAACTCATTAGCATAATAGGCCACACCCAACAACAGAAACTCATTAGCATATCCAGCCACACCCCTGACAGCATAGCTTATTAGCATATTAGGCCACATCCCATGTTACCAGAAGTGTGGTCATCCAGCCACACCCACCTTTTGCTTGTTATTCTGTTTACCTTGTTCGTTGTCAAAACCCAGGGCTTTTTTTTGTAGCAGGAACTCCTTTGCATGTTAGGCCACACACCCCTAATGTAGCCAATCCTAATGAGTTTCTGCTGTTGGGTGTGGCCTATTATGCTAATGAGTTCCTGCTGGGCATGGCCAACTCGGGAGCCAGTCGGAAATCCGTTCCTGTTTTTTTTTTTGTTCATTCCTGCCCAAAAATAGCCCTGAATTTATTTATCAAGACCAACTAAAATACAGTGGAAATGTAGCATCAATAATAAAAATAGCCGACATGGAGAACCTTTAAGCAAGTGTTATCAAGTACATTAGAATGGCAGGCAAGGTACAAACTTATAGCCAGAGAATGAACAGCAAATTAACATGCAACATGATGATGATCAAGATATGCAAAGTGAAAACTAAATAACACGTTAAGTATATTAGGATGTCTGCTGACATAACAGTATTTTTTGGAGGGGGCAGTAGTGTTAAGCACCCTCCACGCCTGACAGGAGAGAATGAAAATTCCCAGGCACCTCCCACAATTAGAAAAGACACCTTTAGACATCTATCTGCTAGTCTGACATATTTATTGCTTTACAACTGTTGACCCTATAACCTTAACTTGTTATTTAGTGTCACTTTGTGTGTTGCCCCCAGTCAGCATTAACTGCAGGTAATAGTAGTTCAGTAAAACTGCTGTGTATCTTTAAGCGCAGTTGCCCCTGGGCATTGTAGTCCTGAGCTAGGTGTCCCAGAAAGCATCCCTCTGACTGGCTCATCAAGAGTAATTTCCTGAGCTCAGAGGCACGGAGACAGAAATGTATAGTTCTTTTCCGTCTCTTTGTCTATCCTTACTGCAAGGAAAGGGGGAGGGGTCATTTTGTAGAAAAAGAGGTGCAGGAGCTCATTAGCATAACTCATTAGCATAGCTTATTTGCATATGCCACACCCCTGACATCACTGGAAGTGTGTCAGAAGGCAACAACCACTGCAACTTACCTGGCTGCTTCTTGCTCCTCATGGCCCGGGGCTGCTGGGAGCAGGGGGCGGGGCTTGTTGCATGTGCCCGCCCCCTGGGCTCTCTACTGCCGGAGCTCCGCTCCTGTGCGCTCCTGCAGGAAATGACCCCTGCAAAGATGTAACTTTTCCACCCAGCCATCAGATGAGATCAGTTTGGCTGTGCGTTGATCACATCCTAGAAAGCGTTCAGCTCTCAGACGGAGCTGAGTGCTGGACAGGAACACTTTGCATATCTTGATCATCATCATGTTGTATGTTAATCTGCTGTTCATTCTCTGCCTTTAAGTTTGAACCTTGCCTGCCATTCTAACGTATTTGATGAAGTGCGTGCACACGAAAGCTCATACCTTGAATAAACCTTTGTTGGTCTTAAAGGTGCCATTGTTGGACTCTAAATTTGTTGTACTGCTTCAGACCAACATGGCTGACCAACTGGATCTATCTTTAAGCAAGCTGTTCCTTACGTGCATTTTGAGGCAGTGCAGTCACACAAGTGATCTGTTCCAAGTGATCTGAACCCGCTCTTGTTCCCCATATTTTATAACTTTCCTTTCCGCAAACCTCTGAGCTGACATGCTCCATAGCTCTCCATACCTGACTCTTCCTCCTAAGTTTTGTTAACAATATCTTACATAAGAGATGAACACCTGATTTTTCTTAATCAGGAAACGACGCTTGAAGGAACTGAAATCTTTACAGAAGACACAAAGATATGGAGAACTCAGAGAAATTTCTGGTGAACAGTATGTCAAAGAAGTGACCAATGCGCCCAAGGGTGTGTGGGTTGTCATTCATCTATACCAATCAAGGTAATTATCAGGATTTCAAAATATTGGACTTCAAAACGGAGACAGATTTCCTTAAGACTTAGTATAAACAAAATGTGTACAAACTCAAGACGTTTACTCTGGAGTGATTGCTTGAACAGCCAGATACCTTTAATAATTTCTACTGGATTTGTCTTATAAATATTGCTATCATTCCTAGGTACATTCCTGTCTAGATAACAGATGCTTGCCCCTGAAATGTACATAGGAATACTCTCTAAGTATATTGTGTGTTCATATGCTATGCACAGGAAGCTGGGGGTCTTAAGGTAAAGGTAAAGGTTCCCTTGCTCGAAAGCCAGTTGAATCCGACTCTAGGGTTGCGGTGCTCATCTCCGTTTCAAAGCCAAAGAGCCAGCGCTGTTCGAAGACGTTTCCGTGGTCATGTGGCTGGCAGGACTAAACACCAAGGCGCACAGAACGCTGTTACCTTCCCACCGAAGTGGTCCCTATTTATCTACTTGCAATTTCTTGCTTTCGAACTGCTTGGTTGGCAGGAGCTGGAACTAGAGACGGGAGCTCACTCTGTCATGCGGCAACCCGGGTCTCGAACTGCTGAACTACCGACCTTCCACAGCCTGCAGTTCAGCGTCTTAACCACTTGAGCCACCACAGCTCCTCTTGGGGTCTTAAAGAAACATCCAAAATCTTGTTGGAAACTGAGATTTCTCATCTGGGTTTCCCCTGATTGATAAATCTAATAGGTAGATGTATTCTTCAACAGACGACCCACCTCTTAGTCTGAAGAGTGCCACTTGGGAATGCTTGTTAATGTGTAACAGAAAGAGAAAGAGAGCCAGTGGGAAAGCATTTTTGCCAGTGTGGCAGCTATGTTCAGATTCTAGACATGAGGAAATATATATCTGTATTTTAATTCTGTTGGTGAAACTGTCCAAGACAGTTTGGTAGGCGGATGAGCTTCCTGGATGGCTGAACGTTTTGCTAGTTAAGTGCTTAGATCTATTTGTTTTTGCTGGGTCTGAGACCAAAGATTTGTCATGCATTGTGTCACGGTGTTGAGAAACTGAGCAGCTCCCTTTTATGCAGCTGAGAAATGATGCAAAGCAGGGAGATTTCGAGCTGAAATTTGCAGATGAGGAATAATTAGGAATCAAGGAAGCTTTGATGAGCAATGTACCATGGGCATGTCATAGCTTAGCAGTCTTTGGCAGGGCTGCAGACAGGGGATTTAGGTGAATTGATTGGGTGGGGGCAGAGCTCAAACAGATTGCCACATGGCCAGAAACCACACCCCAGACTGAGACCTGAATACAAATATTTTTAGCTGGCCCAGAAGGTATCACCTGCTTTCCCACACTGTCTTATACCTTGTAATCCACGTTCAGGATTGTTTGTAGCCTACCTTGCCTTAGATAGTTTATTTGCATTGTTCTCTACTTCTGTAATCTTCATTGCATTGTTCATTGGTTGTCTTATGCTGTTTGGTTGCACTATTTTACATCCTGTAATCTGCCTTGCATCTCAGCAAGAAAGGTAAACTACAAAGTAAAGACATACATAGGGCTCTGTTGGAAACTCTTGCCTTCGCTCTGTGGAATATCACGGACAAGAAAACGTGACATTCCTGTACATATGGGGGGATAGTGACAGGAATCTCTCTGGTCTGGGTGCTGCTTGGGAAAGGAACCCAACCTTGTGCGGCAGTGCAATGAATTTATGAGTGTGCAGACTTGTGGGGCAGTGCAATGAACTTATGGGTGTACAGACCTGTGGGGAAAATGCTAAGCCCAAGAGGCAGAGAGATGGGGTTGGAAACCCACCACTCTGGTTGAACTCAGAGTAACATCCTTGTGGTATGGGTGCAGGGGTTGATGGGGAATATTTGCGGGAAATATTTGTGTTTCAGAGAGAGTTCAGTGATCAAAAAGATTTTTTCCCAAAGAGAGTTCCATGATCAAAAAGACTCAGTTTGGTGTAGTGGTTAGGAGCTGGGATTCTAATCTGGGAGAACCAGGTTTGATTCCCCACTCCTCCACTTGCACCTGCTGGATGACCTTGGGCAAGCCATAGTTCTGGCACAGTCATTCTCCTTCAGCCTAACATGTCTCTCATGATTGTTGTTATGAGGCTAAAATAGAAAAGGAGAAAACTGTGTTGTAAGTTGATTTGGTCCCCATTAGGGAGAAAAGGGTGTGTGTGGGGACAAATATAAACAAACAAACAAACAAATATCATGCCAGTTCTGTTCAAGATCTTCTTCTTGTTCAAGAGAGCCAGTTTGGTGTTGTGGTTAAGTGCGCGGACTCTAATCTGGGAGAACTGGGTTTGATTCCCTACTCCTCCACTTGCACCTGGCTGGATGACCTTGGGCAAGCCGTAGTTCTGACAAGAGCTGTTCTTGAAAAAGAGCAGTTTCTGTCAGAGCTCTCTCAGCCCCGCCTACCTCACAGGGTGTCTGTTGTGGGGAGGGGAAGGGAAAGGGATTGTAAACTGCTCTGAGGCTCTGTTGGGTAGTGAAGGGCAGGGTATAAATCCAATCTCTTCTCTTCTTTTTTTCATGTTGGGATTTCTTGTAGCATTCCTATGTGTTCACTAGTTAATAGACACCTCAGCTTCCTGGCCCAAAAGTTTCCTGAAACCAAGTTTGTGAAAGCCGTGGCCAGCAGCTGTATTGAAAATTACCATGACAGTTGCTTGCCTACATTGTTTGTCTATGAAAATGGACAGATCAAAAGCAAGTTCTTGGGAGTGACAGAATGTGGAGGAACAAAGCTGACAGCGGAAGGTAATAGTTCAACCTTCTTTTTAAACAACAAGGGTGGTGCAACAGTCCTGGAGCAAAAGCGGCTTGCCTTGCAGTACTGACAGCCAGGCAGGATCAGCTCAGACCTGCTGGGCTGCGGCAATGCTGAGAGTGAGCGCCGGCTCACGCAAAATGGTTCCCCTTGTCATTCCCGCAGTCCAAGTCCAAGCCGAGAAGGCCTGCGTCCCTGTCAGCCCCGCAAGGGCCACTTGTCTCAGTTGGCTCCTGCTGGCCAGGGCCTTCCAGAGCAGCGGCCCTTCGGGGACTTTCTCTGCAAGCTGAAGTGCCAGACTGTCCCCGGATGCCTATAGATGAAGGGTTGGGTTCCAAAATACCTTTCTGCATGCAGAGCCCCGGTGGGCTGGGTTAATGACATCCCCCCTGGGTTTTCTACCACAGCCTAGTTATCTTTCTGCCTTTTGCAAGGGAAGCAGCTGTCCCCCGTTTCCTTAATCTTTTCCTTGGGAAGACTCCTTCGCAGTGGTCCTGATTCTAGATATCCCAGAGATTCTCTAGTCTCCGTGCTGCTTCCCTAGTCAGCCCATGGCTTGGCCACCACTAGGGCTCTACACCCATCAGCCAGCAGAACCTGCTGGTCTGGCTGCTGTCATCTTCACATTCACTACACCAGTTTGGTGTCATGGTTAGGAGTGCAGACTCTAGTCTGGGAGAACCGGGTTTGATTCCCCACTCTTCCACATGCAGCTGCTGGTGTGACCCTGGGTCAGTCACAAGTTCTCTCAGAGCTGTCCTCTCAAGAGCAGTTCTCTTAGAGTTCTCTGAGCCCCACCTACCTCACAAGGTGTCTGTTGTGGGGAGGGGAAAGGAAAGGAGATTGTAAACTGCTCTGAGACTCCTTTGGGTAGTGAAGGGCGGGGTATAAATCCAATCTCCTCCTCCTCCTCCTCCTCCTCTTCCTCCTCCTTTTTCTTCCTGTGATTGACTATAGAATGTAAGGAGAAACACTGTTGGCCATGGCCCCTTGTCATGCTAATCAAGATAAAGGTTGACACCTGTATTATTTATTTCAAAAAACTCTTCCAAATCTTTTTTTACACTTATTTACCACATCTTTTTGTAGTAAAAGAGCATCATTTAAACTCCATCTTCTTCTTGATTCTCTGTTCCATTGCAAGACTACTCCTATGGGATTCTGGTCTGCAAATATCTTTGGCTGAATCTCTACTTTTTCTGAATTCATTGTCAAAATTTTTGATGTCCAACACATATCTATTCTTGAATGTTTGATGTCTGTCTGAAAAAAAGGTAAAGTCTCTGCCCTTGGGATGCTTGGCCTTCCAAGAGTCTTCTAATTCCAGCATTTCCATGTATTGAAATACATTTTTAGGTAGTTTTCTACCTTTAATTTTCCTTGATCTGTCTTTTTTGGGTCTAATACTCTGTTTATATCTCCAAACATCACTATTTCCTCATCTTGAAAGTGTAGCATAGTTTGGGAAAAAAGTCTCAAAAAATCCAACTTCTGCATCGTTTGGTGCATATATTGTTGCTATCACTCATATTTTGCGTTTCAGGAGTCTCATTTTTAACATTAGGTATCTTCCATCTGGATCTCTTAATTCTTCTAATACTTCTAATTGTGGATTGTTTATGTAAATAGCCACTCCACATTTTTTGTTCTGTGCTTTGTTCTGTGCTACTCTGCCTAAGCTGAAGCAAGATATGTTCATATTTCTTCTTTATATGAGTTTCTTGTAAGCATAATATATCAGCGTTTTGAAAATTTTCATGCATGTCGACGGGGAATTCAGTCTATTGATATTTACTTATACTACTTTCAATTTATCTACTTTGTCCTAATGTTGTTGCCACATCCAACTTGCCCTTTTCTGTGCTTGTTTCTTCTTCGGAGTTTCTGGTCCATGAACTTTGTTTTGAGCTGCTATCAAATGGCTCTGAGTTACTTGGAGATTCTCCTTCTGTTCCTCTGTGTAAGTCCTCCGTTTGCAGTTCTTTGGCCAGTTGCTTGGTTTGTTCCTCTGTTACAATTACTTTTTCTCTTTTGGTTAAGTATACCTCCATTGCAAATTGTCGTCACAATTGATTTATGGTTACCCCATAGGGTTTTCAAGGCAAGCAACAAACCCCGAACTTCCTTGGTGGTCTCCCACCTAGCTTCCAACTCCAGACAAAATGTACACCCAAGCAATGGTCCTACGTTTCATGAAGATTCAGGACAACAATAATACTATTAGAGAATCTTTGTATCCACTTTCCCAAACAGGGTAGAGCCCTGGTAAGGTCCAAGCCAAGGAGCTGACTAGAGAGGAGTATAACATGAGTTCAAGCTCACAATCTCATACTAGAACCAGCTGATGGGCTCGTAAATAGCTATTGCCCTACTCACCTATGGCTAGTCACTTCTATCGACATATTTGTATGGCGGATTCCTAGGTTACTTCAATAATAACTAACGGAACAAGACTGACCCTACAGGGTCTACAAAATAGCTAGTTCCTGTATGGCTTCAGTATACTCCCCCAATACTATTTATCTAACTTTTTAAAAAAGTGTTCTGTTTTCTATTGTTAAAGATGTTGGCGTTTCAGCTCACCTTAAGACCTCTTTTTGTTCCAGAACTTGAATGGAAGTTGGCAGAAGTTGGGGCTCTCAAAACTGATTTGGAAGAAAACCCCAAAAAGGATGTTGTGGATATGATGACATCTTCGATTAGAAATGCTTCCATACGCAACTAAGCGGGGGATGGTGAAGAGACAACTGCTACTTAAACTGGGAGGATACTAGAAGAACAAAAGCTGGTGCTATCTTTATGGTTCGTTTAATTGCAGTGTAATTAATGCTGCTTTTAAAAATAAAGAAATAGCATAGCACAAATACAGTTGGGGTCATTTGCTGTATCAGTAACAATGCTGCCTTTATATAACAGTCACATGCGCACACACATTGCTCCAATCCAGGGCTCTGTAAATGCTCTAATGCACATATGCAGCTTCCGCTAGTACTATTACATTGCTCCAATCCAGGGCTCTGTAAATGCACATATGCAGCTTCCGCTAGAACTATTGTTCCTCATTCACTGGCACGGAGTGAGCATCTTGGCATACACAAGAGCTTGTGTCTCTGTTCTTCGTTGCAGGCAAGACTTCGTTGCAGGCAACCCCCACCCCACCCCCCAAGTTCCCATGCCCACAAAGGATTATGAGAACAAGGTAGCTGTCCTTTTAAAAAGCCAGACCAGGTAACTTCCTCCACAATCCATTCGAAAACTGAATTTGGCTTCTAGGCCTTCTAATAGCTCAAATAATCTAGGTTTCTCTTCTTGTTACATCAGAACTGTGTTCAGTTATCCCAATGACATGTCTGTGGAATAAATGGAGTCCGCCTAGTTGTTGTCCCTTTTTGCATTTCCTGTCCTAGTAAGATTCAACCTGCTCTTGTGTTTCCTGCTTGACCCACATTTACTTGAAACGTAACTTTATGCTGGCAGTATATTTCATAGCTTTACTGTTTACACAAATAGCTTATATGGAGCTGTTATATAATGAGAGATCACCCGGGGAATAATTTAGCAGGATACATAGTACTAATGTACTGAATGTATATATTGAGGCAGAGGGTAACTTTTACATTTGAGAGCCAGTGTGATGTAGTGTTTAGTGGTGCAATGGTTAGAGAGAACCAGGTTCAAATCCCCATTCTGCCATAGAAGCTTGCTGGGTGACCTTGGGCCAGTCACACACTCTCAGCCTAACCTACCTCACAGGAGTGAGGACAAAATGGAGGACAGGCGAGTCATGTAAGCTGCTTTGGGTCACCATTGGGAAGAAAGGTGTCATATAAATAAATAGACATCACCAAATGCTTCTCTGAGGAAACAACCTCAAAAACATTCTATCACTTTTGTGTATAGCGGTATTTTCCTTCCTTGCTCATTTATGGAATTCTCGCTTCAGAGACTAATTCTAGAAATTTCCAGTAGCACCCACAAGAAACCTCTGTACATACCAGCTAGAAATCTAGCCCCTTGGCCTTCAATCAGTTTTTCCACTCCAGTGACAGGTGACAGAACCCCTACAACCTTACTAGGGCTCAGGAGTGTCACTTAGAGCGTCTGGGTTCTTGGACACCTGGAGTTTGCAGCAGAAGACCCCATTCGTTTCCATTCCATATTGGATCATCCTGACAGAGTTAATCCTTTTTTGGGCAAAGAATAATCTGATGTGGGCCTCCCTTTCTCCATTCTACCCTCACAACAAACCTGTAAAGTAGGTTATGCCTAGCCCAAGGTCAATGAGTTCCATGGCTGACAATGCACTCTTGTGCAGAGTTATTCCAGTCTAACGCCCCTGAAATAAGTGGATTTAGACTGAAGTGGTTCTGCAATGGAGTACACTGTCCGTGGTCATGATGGCAACAGCTTTGTGTTCATTTATTCCAAGACTAGCAAAGCCAGTTCAGTCAACAAATGGGTGGTGAAACCGGGTGACCCCTACTCCTACTCATCCACCAATTTATTTCAGATTTCTGAAGGGTAGCCAAGTTAGTCTGTTGTGCAAGCAGTCCTGAGGCTGCTTAAACTGTAACAGATATGTTGTGCTGCTGATTACTTACTAGGTAATCAGCAGAGGATACTAGCAATAGCGCATATCATCTTGGAAGATTCCTCTAAGCTAGGGCTGTGCTTTATGGAGCACCCCTCCCCAAGCAACTTGAGAAAGCACTCGCTGGACCTCAGTCCAGTCATGCCTTCATAGTAAATGTGTGGCCCCATCTTGCTTAAACCAAGCTTGATGTGCCTTATCCCACACTGAATGTGCAGAGAAGCAAGAGGTTTAAAACTTTACTGGTACTTCACCCTAACAGAGCAGGTCATCTGCAGAAGTTATCACAAGGTAGTTGAAAAGTACGCAGACGGAGAGTGATTTCAGCAAAGCGTACTTTATTTGATCAGGAACAAGACAGCTTTTGCTGGCTCGCAGGCCGGCTTATATTCCCTGTGAAACCGCCACCCATAACACACACACACACCCAATTCCCAATAGGTTATTTACAGGGGCCGAGAGTTCCATAGGCTCTCGGCTGGGACCTAGCCCCCTGATTGGTGCAGGCTAGGATCCGCATAGTCTATTGTCTCTAAGAGCGAAGTTCGACGTTTGTGCTTGACCGCGTGGAGCCCTAGCCAGCCACGCGGTCTGACTGGGTATATTATAGGGTTGCCAAGTGGTCTTACCTTGCCTGGCGGGGGAGCCTCGCTGGGCTCTGGGAGCTCGTTGGTGCGCGCGCCACCAGCACATCACCAGAAGTGACGTGCTACGTTGCTCACGTTGGGGGCGTGGCCCAGATCATCGGGGGGGAACCATATAGTTTCCCCCCCCTGACGATCTGGGCCACGCCCCCAACGTGAGCAATGTGGCTGTGTCACCTCTGGTGACGCAGCTTCGGGGGGCGGAGTTCCCCCCGGGGCCCGATTCCGCCATGGCGGAAATCAGGCCTCCAAAGCGGGGGTTTCCCCGCCCCCCGGGCCCACTTGGCAGCCCTAGTATATTACAGCAGTGATACTTCAGTTACTTAAAGAAGGGAGAAGTGAGTCTTGATACAGGTGTTCAGAATCCTAACAGGTATTTCACTTGGGAGTTGGACCAAGTGTTTCTGTGTTTCTGTCTCCTTCCTGCCTGAGAATGTAAGGGCTAGGGCAGGGCGGGGCCAGAGGCACGAGCCCTTGGGAACAAGCCCAAGGGCAAGACTCAGAAGGCTCTCAGCCTGGGGATTTATGATGGTCAACTTAGTGAAGAAGGACCTGCCCAGGTTGCATTTGTTTGTTTGCTTTGATTATTTAATTTGGTGTGGAAATTTCTAAAGGCCACTTTGGGTGCCTCGAGAGAAAAGCAGCATCGAGAAATGAAATCAACCATCTACCACGAAGCATTCTGAAAACCTGTAGTATACATGCAGTGGTCGCTTAGATTTCAGAGGTGAACGATATACTCCACTTCCTCCAGAACCTTCCTTCTGGCTGGCAATCCAAGTGCAAGTGTGTGAGCCTAAGCTGGCTGATGGTTTCTATAAGAATTTGACAAGGAGAGATTTCTTGGCATCACTATCCAGGGCAGTACCAGCTGACCCTTATTTATTCTGACCACACTATTTGAATCTTCTCAAGCAGGAAAACAGGGGGACATGTATTCCCGCTTCTTTTCATGAGTTATGGAAAACAAATACCTGCCTGAGTTGTGCATTAAATTCACATTCATCATTGCATCTTTCCTGTTTTAAGGATGCTTGTGACCAATGCATTAGGCCAAATATCTCAAATGTACTTTCTCAGATCTGATCACTGCCTTGCATTAGCTCAAGTCAGGCCGCTTGCTAAAGCACGGCATGCTGTTCACCCTTAAATAGACTGAAATTGTAGTGTGGGTGAGGAATGAAATCAGTATGAAGGATCTCTTGTAGCTGCAGGCTCACAAAAGCAGCACATCTTTCAGCACAGCATGAAACTTTTTACTTGCAGTGACCTCATTCTACACATGAAGCTTTTACAATTGAAAATAGTAAATGAGGCACACAAAGACCACAGGAGGAGAGGCTGGGAATACTGATCGCTGTTAGCCACAGCCATCAAGATGCTCTTTAATTCATACCGAAAGAACATCTAAGCGCATTACCTTCATTTGCACATATTCACTCTTTATTACCCTCTCCTGCCAAACCATTCTGAGAAAACCCTCAGCAGAAATCCAGGCTGCCTGACCCATTGCAAACACATATAGCTCAGACTAGCCTGATCTCCTCAGATCTTGGAAGCTAAGCAGGGTCGGCCCTGGCTAGCATTTGGATGGGAGGCCTCCAAAGGAATACCAGGGTCACTATTCAAAGGAAGGCAATAGCAAACCATCTCTGAACATATCTTGCCTTGCAAACTCCATGGGTTCCCCATGTCAGCTGTGATTTGACAGCAAAAAAAGGAGAGGATTTTCTGTAGGTAAGATGGTACTAAAGATTCTTTTAGATAAATTTGTTTTGAAATGGATGCAGAAAATTTCCTCATTCACCCCTCCTGCTTTCTAGATTTAGCCTGTCATATCCTCTGCAGAGATCTGTTTTTGCTTATCTTATCCTCTACTTGTGCATTACAGGTGCAATCAAAAGATAAAGAAATACAACGTGACTCGTTTAAAAGTAAAAATCAACCTTAGGTTTCTAATGACCACACTTTTAACATGAAATTATTCTCAGGTTACTTTTGAGTGGATTTACTACTGCAAAGTTCAGATTGTCCAGCTTCTGGGTTGCTTTGAGGTTTAGTTTGGAGTACTTTTTGCACAGAATATCAAAATCATGCAGAGAAAGCCACATCCGACTCCAACCCTTCTTCATCATTACAAATTCAGATATGAATGTCCTGTAAGCAATAGGGCCATCCTAAGCAGGGTTAAAAAGGTAAAGGTTTCCCTTGCTCAAAAGCCAGTTGAATCTGACTCTAGGGTGTTGTATCCGATTCTAGGGCTCATCTCCGTTTCCAAGCCAAAGAGCCAGCACTGTCCAAAGATGTTTCCGTGGTCATGTGGCTGGCATGACTAGATGCCGAGATGCATGGAACGCTGTTACCTTCCCACCGAAGTGGTACCTAGTTATCTACTTGCAATGTCTTGCTTTCAAACTGCTAGGTTGGCAGGAGCTGGGACCAGAGACGGGAGCTCACTCCGTCATGCAGCACTCGGGTCTCGAACTGTTT